AAGCAGGCTCTCTGCTGAGCAAGGAGCCCGATGTGGGACTCGATCCCAGGACCCTGGGATCATGACCTGAGCCGAAGGCAGCCGCTTAACCGACTAAGACACCCAGGTGCCCTATTCTCAGAATCTTACCATTAAAAATTTTTATACAAGTACAATAACGTCATTAAAAAATAATTTTATTTTTCCTTTGAGAAAAAATATGCAAAGGCTCAAAATAAAGTCTAAGTCAAATCACTGACAGGGAAACTTTACAAATTAAAAATAAATCGTATTTTGGTGATGGTTGTACAACAAAGTGAAATGTACTTAGTGCCTCTGAATTATATACTTAAAGATGATTATGATGGTAAATTTTGTACTATGGATATTTTACTGCAATATTTTTAAAAATTAAAAATAATTCTTTTAAGGAAAAAGAACTGGTTGCATTTACCAAAGAAATAATAAATCATTATTCCCTTTAGGAATGCAAAAATACTCCCCCAAACCAACAACAACCCTGGATAAAGCCAAGGCTCTCGTCCCCTGAGATGCTGTCACCTACCTGGGCACATCTGCAGGGCTTCCAGCTCATCGGCATCCAGGTGCACATAGGAATGAAGTATGGTCCAGTCCTGTCGATGCCACACCAGGGCAGGCAGAGTCCTAGGGAATTAAGGCAAGAACTCAAATGGTTGCCGGCCCGCACCTGACTCAGCCCACCCTCCTTCCTCTTCTTCCCCAGGAGGAAACTGGCTATCAGAAACAGAGGGGAGAACGAAAGCTAAACGTGCCAAAACCTCCAGGCTTCAAGTTAAAGTAATGCAATGTTTTAGGGGCGCCTGGGTAGCTCAGTCGGTTAAGCATCTGCCTTCTGCTCAGGTCACGATCCCAGGGTCCTGGGATTGAGTCCCATAGTGGGCTCCACGCTCAGTGTGGAGTCTGCTTGTCCCTCTTCCTCCCACCTGCGCATATGTGCTCTCTTTCTCTCAAATAAATAAATAAAATCTTTAAAAAAAAAAAAAAAACTTTATATGGAGATGATGAAGGAGAGGTTTCGAGGGGGGAGTGGCTTAGTCAGGTTGCATTTCAGAAATACCACCCTTTGGATGCCAGGTTGTCGGTGGGGCCAGTCCTGGAGGCTGGGAGGACAGTTAGGGGGCTGTAGAAGTTTTCTGGCTGGAGGTGATGGGGGAGTTGGAGTAAGTCCATGCTAGTCGGTTAGAGAGACAGAGTTGAATTGGACAAGTTAGAACCTGTGAGCATTCAGACTGGGGGGGGAAGTGAAGAGAAAGGGACCCGGGGGGGCACCCGTATGTGTGGTTTAGGTTCAATGCCAGTAGCCAGGGGGGAGGGAAGAAAGGGCTCTGTATTAACTAGGATTACATTTGGTTGGAACTGAGATCAGAATAACAGTGACCTCAACAAGGTGAAGGTGTATTTCTCCTTCACATAGAAGCTTGCGTGTCTATGAGCACGCCACGCAGGTGCACACACGAGGTGTGCCTTTCCACGTCAGCTTGATTGAGTCATAAAGCAAAGTTAATCACAATGATAAAGCAGGTTCAGGATTCCAAGCTCATTGACATTTCACCAGGTGATAAAACTTGGCTTCTTACACAGGGCACCGAGCAGAACGTAAGACAAGCCACACAACAAACAAGATAACAGAAGGGTGTAGGAAGCTAACGAACCAAACGCCAAGGCGACTTGTGGGCGCGCAGTTGACATGAGGCCCCGGTCTGGTCCGGGTCAGCTCCTCGGCACTTGCTGCTTCTGACCTTCAAGCAGGGAAGGACCTCGGTTCTGTTCGGAGATCTGGCAGGGCCTTCGGCAGCAGATGCCTTTAAGTGGTCAGACATAGAGGGGTCACGTTTGAAGAGTCTAACAGCTTGCTGCAAAAATTCTCCCCTTTTAAAAGGGATTTAATTGGGAGGCGCCTGGGTGGCTCAGTCGGTTAAGCTTCTGACTTGTGAGATCAAGCCCAGTGCTGGGCGTGGAGCCTGCTTAAGATTCTTTCCCTCTGCCCCCCACCTCCTGTTCACGCGCTCTTTCTCAAATGAATGAATGGGTGGATGGATGGATTCATTCGGTCCTGGGCCCCTGCAGACCTCCTCTGCTTCTGCTTGTTACCGGTTCTGGGGTGTCAGCTGATGCTGGTCCCCACGATACCTCGTAGCTGGTATGTTTAGCCTCGTACCTTTAATTGCTTGCGTCATTGCCTCACAGGCTCCCATTTGACGTGAGAGACTCCATCTTGCTCTCTACAGTGAGGTAGCCAGCCCAGTAAGGAAGCTATGTGTCATGGAGTCCCCAGGGGTCTAATTCCTTCCAGCTCAGCAGGCCACCATCCCTAGGGTTGGGCCCCACCTTCAAGGTGCAAGATGGCACCTTCCTCATTCCACTTGGCCAGGTGGCACTTCTACTTCTGGTGCATTGGCCAGAGTGTAGTCATGTGGTCAAAGCCTTACTGCAAGGGAAGCTGGGGAATGAGGTCTTATTCTGGACCTACTTAAAATTCTGAGGCCATAGAAGAGAGCAGGTGGGGCAGATGCTACAGGTTTTTGCAGAAAGGGTAATGCGTCACATATGGAAATAATGCTTATCTGCTAGAAAGTAAACATGACTGAAAGGCTGTGGGGAAATTAGGGAAAGAAGAGAATTGCCAGCTGATCCAGGAAGGCTGCATGGAAGCGGGAAGCTTTGGACATGGATGGATTTGAACAGAGATTGGGGAGGGAAGAGGGCATTCCAAGTGGGGGTATAGGAGAGCTGAGGAGTCCAGTGTAGCTGGGCACATGTGGCTAAGCGTGACTGGCAGGATGCTTGGGGCCGGATGGCAGGACGTGCACGGCCAGGCCGAGGAAGCAGGCTGTACTCTGAAGGCAGCAGGTGGGTCCTGCAAGGCTTGAAGGGGCTCTCGGGCCAGAGTAGAGGCAGGAAATGGAGTCCATCTCGCCTCTCGAGCCTCTCCCCACCAACACCCAAGGAAGTCTTAGCATTTGCTGGACCTTGAAAATACCTTGTTGATCCAAGGTGGACCCAGAGGTGGCTGAATGGTGGTCCTGAGCCAGTGGGGGCCCTGCCTCCTTGTCTGGCCTAGGGTGGCCAGCTCTGCTTGTCGAGAAATCCCAAGGCCAACAGGCCCCTGCCCAAGACCGGGATATTCTTCTCAGACATACCACAGGCTGCAGCGACCTTCTGGTCTGGAAACTCAAGGACCTTAACGGGGAAGCTTGTCCCCCTGCAAAACTCCTTTTCCGCTAAGCCGCCCCTGCCTGCCACTCTCAGCTAGTACTTCCGCCCCCTTGCTAGGCTAGGAACATGCTGGGTATTAGGGGACTGTTGTTGATTTTGTTAGGTGTGATGACAGCAGAGCAGTTACATAACAAAGTCTTTATCTTTCGGAATTTCCCACTGAAGTATTTGTAGGTAAAATGGCAGATCTGAGAGTTGCCTTCAGATACTCCAGAAAATACCTCCAAGCTGGGTATGCTGGATGAAAGAACACTGGCAGATTGTTAATAAACCGGAGTGATGAGTATATGAGGGTTCATTACATTCTTTCTGCATTTGTTTATATTTAAAATTCTCCATAACAAAGTGTTTCGGAAGTCATGTGTTGTGCTGTCGATTGGACATCACTGAAAAAAGTGGGACTGGGAAACAGATGCTTTCGGAATTTTTTAAACTTTAGAGGCAAGGAAAGTTCTAAAACAAAAAAATATGAAGAGTTTGACTTTGTTTTTCAGATACAGTGCAGTGAACTTGAAAAGGAAATTCAGTCTGCAACAGAAGAAACAGAACTCTTCTATAACAGAGGGGTGTAAGGATGTGTTTTCGGTGAATTTGTTTGGTTCCGGCTTGAACACCTTCCTCTCTGCTCGAGCTGTCCGATCGGAGAACTCTGCAGCAGGTCTGGCACCCGAGGCGTCTGCGCCCACAGGTTGCCTTCCAATGACACAGGCCATGGCCCTTTCAAGGCTGCTGCCTGGGCTTTCGAGCCTGGATGGAAGGAGAGAAGAGAAAGGAGAGGCCGTTCTGTCTGACCCACCCCCATGGGGCTGCAGAAAGAACGGCTGATAGAAGAGTCCATTTTCTATGTGTTCATCAGCCTCTGAAGGACACTGTGAAATGACTAATAAACTTACCAAAAGAGGCCCGCAGATTTGGTGCCAGGAGGTTCTGGTGCTGGCCAGTTGTTTTGGTTTTCACCGTGAAGGAGGCAGGGTCATTGGCCAGTGAGGAGAGAGAGGAGGTGGGTGGCTGAGGGCAGAGATGTTAAGCAGTCCAGAACGGGAGGAAGCTGAGGAGGGAGATAGGGTGGCTCTGGGGCTCAGAGGCCTTCAGCGCTCACCAGAGGTTCCTGTTACCTTGAGATGGGCCATCAATGGAATGCCCGGGCCCTGGGCATGGTGGACCCTTCTTGATTTTTTCGAACACTCAACTTTTGGTAAGTTTATTAGTCATTTCACAGTGTCCTTCAGAGGCCTCCTTGCAAGGCCAGCTGTGCCCTCGGCTCTGGGCCCCCTCCGGCCGGATTCCCTCAGGGCCTGGTTCTGCAGCTGCCGGGCCTCCTCCCTCCTTCGCAGTCACATTTGAACTACGTGACTCACCAGCCTTATTAAACAAGCAAACATCCTTCGAGAGCCAAACTTGGTCACAGACTGTCTCCCCTCACCGTTTCCACCCCGCCTTCCACTCTGCTAAAACTGCCCTCCTCCGGGCCCCACCGCCACTCTGCTGGGTGCTCAGACCCAGTCCTGGGCTTGCTCCCCTGAGCCACAGGCCCTCGTCCTGCTGCACCGGGCGCTCCGCCATCCACAAAGCCACTTGAGACCATCTTTTCCTCCCAATCTCAGAAAATGGCACCGCCACGTAACATCACCCAAGAGCACTGGTGTCCCCCTTACTCCTCCCCTCCCGAGGCCTTTCACAGCTGACCCCAAGGTGTCGGGTCTCTAAGCCCCTTTCCCAAGCCTGCCCAGGGCAACAGCATCCCCTGCTGGTATTCCTCTCTCATCTTCTCTGGCTCCTCCAATCCATGCCCCAGCCTGCTCTGACAAACACCTGCGTAAAAGCCTTAGCCGGCTTTCCAGTGCATCAGTTCAAGTCCAGATTCCCTGCCAGGCAAAAGCCTTAACCTCACTCATCTCTTGCCACTCCTTTTCCTCACTCTGGACCAATACCCCGTTCCTCATATGGACTATGGTATGGTCTTTCCTTCCTGGACCTTCATATCAGCTGTTCCCTGCCAGGCTAACTCTTGCTTATGCATCAGGTCTAACTTAGGCATCACTCCCGCCAGGAAGCCTTCCAGGATTCACAGTACTGAATTCGGTGCCCCTTCTGTGTGCTCCCATAGCACTCATACCGTGTCTAGCACTCGCCACACCGCAGCAGAAGAGCCTGCTTGTTGTCCCTGCGCCCCCGTAAACTGTGCCTCGAGAGCAGGAAGTGTGTCTGGGCATCAGGGAAGGCCCAGGATACAACACCGTGCACGACACGGCAGGCACCCAAACGTCGGCGTACTGGAGGATGTTTCCAACATACCCTGCCCCAAATCGTCAAGGAATCTATCTGTGGCTTTCAGGGTCCCACAGGTTATCTTCAAATTTGGTTAGAAGGGTTTCACAACAGCCTACAAGAACAAAAAATCAGTAAAAAAAAAAAAAAAAAAATTCTACCAGGGCGCCTGGGTGGCTCAGTCGGTTAAGCGTCTGACTCTTGATCTCAGCTCAGGTCTTGATCTCAGGGTGGTGAGTTCAAGCCCCGCGTTGAGCTCCATGCTGGGCTTGGAGCCTACTTAAAAAAAAAAAAAAAGTTCTACCAGATGGCTCAGTATAGCCACAGGCGTACACTAAACAAAATTAAAGAACAACACTCATACAAAGGCCCCAGGTGGAGGCTTGGCCACTAACAGGTGACAGAGTAGAAATGCGAGAGCATCTTTTCAAAGAAGACACTGAAGTGCCAGCCCTAGGAAGTGGGGGAGGGAGAAGGGCGAGGGCAGGGAGAGCAGGGGGCGAGCCAGGGGTGGGAGAAGGGAGCCTGAACCCCTTGACTTTCAAACAGGTCTTGTAAGAACTCCCCAGTACATCTGCATTGACAAAAGGGTTTTATCTTTTGTTCGAAGTGGGGAGAATTACAGAAAGAGGGCACAATTCTTCAGCTGCCTAAAACTTACAGAGTATCAAAGTATTTCCATTTTATTTCTGCATCATAATCTGTAATTTTAACAACGTTGATCATTAGCTGATATAGCAATACAAAAAATGAGGGAGATAAAGATGTTCATATTCGTTTTCATAAAGTGCAGATTTAATTTTCAATTGTTTGCCTTAGAAACATCACCTCATTCCACATCCTCTCCTGCCCCCACCCAAGGAGGGAGGGAAAAAGGCTATTTTTTATTTTTACTCAACAAATGTCTAACACAAAGAATAAAAGATCTAATAAAGATTTTTTTACAAACATTTTTCTGGGTAGGTAAGATTTCTAAGGACAACAGTAGTGAGTGTAAAATAACCTTTCGTAACTAATTTGAGTACATAGAATAAAATAACAAATACATAATTTAGACCTCCATGCTTATTTTGTGACTTTTAGGTCTCCAACTATGAAAAAGATACATAACCTGAACAAGAACAGTTACCTTCATATGTGGTCAAATTACGGAAGTCTGAAGACACTCTCTGGTCTTGGCCTTGGCAATTACAGAAAGATGCTGTCCCACTTACATATTTACATCCAAAATGGGCTTCTTATTTTACTCCACCATATAAGGACTGGCATCTTTTTCAAAAGAACATTGCCAGCAACAGGGTTAATGAAAGAGTCCTAGTGGCTTACGTTGGCCAGATGCTTACCTCTGCGACAGTATAAATATGGATTGTTAAAGTTGTCTACTCAAGTATAAAATTTATGCAAAATCCTCATAGGCAAAAATGTTCAAAGGCCAAGAAAAAAAAATTCTTTTCTTTTACAAGAAAGTGCAACTGCAGGATCTTTTCTGAATGATCTTCTAGACTGTTCTGCAGAAAACTTAGTTTGGCTCAGAAAGTAGAGTTCCTCATGAGGAATAAAAGTTCTTCCTAGAAGAATATAAAGCAAAATTTCAGGCAGCTTTCTGAAAATAAACTGTTAGTTGGTGGCTACGCAATGAGACAACTGGAACTTATAATAATGAAGGCTTTTGGGTTTGCTGTGATTTGCACAAGAACTTGGCAGAGCTTTTTCTCTCTTACTCCAGGACGCCACGCCATTGCTAATGTTATTTATGGTGGTTACAGCACTTTGTCCAACACTGAGCGCAGGCAGGAAACCAATCAGGAGAAAAAGAGAAAGGGTTTTCATATGTGTTTCAGGGCTTTTTCAGGTCAAATCGCAATACTTTCAATTAAATCATTAAAAATATAACATTTTCATTGTTATTTTCAGTATTTTACATAGTTAGTGGATAATCGTGGTGAGAGAGCTTTCTATCATTCATCAGTGATACACCGTCACAGTCAGATTTTCAGCATCTGCTCAGCTGCCGCTAGATGGTAAAGGAAGTTTTCTGTTGCTGGTGGAAATCGTCTTTGCTTTAGGGCCTCAAAATTGAGAACTAGCTTTTCTCCATCACCAGAAACTTCTGAAAATGGTTCCAGGTTGGTGAAGATTTCTCTCGTTTTTAGGGAAATATCCTTTAATGGAACAGGAAAATATGCCATTTGTTAGCATCAAAAATTATGAATCGTTGCATTCGAAGAAAATTCTTCCTGCTATTTTTTAAGTTTATCAGACTATAAATTAGGAAAACTGAAACTTTTTTAAAACAACTTAGAAAAACCAGTGTCCTGTTTTTGCCATTTTAGCCATTTTTAAGTGTATGATTCAGCAGCATTAAGTACATTCACAGAGTTTTATGACTACTATCCATTTCCAGAACCTTTTTCATCGTCCTAAACTTTGTACCCATTAAACAGTAACTCCCCATCCCCGTCTCCAACCCCTGGTAACCAGCATTCTACTTTTTGCCTTGATGAATTTGCTTATTCTAGGTACCTCATATAAGTGATATCACACAGTATTTGTCCTTTTGTGTCTGGCTTCTCTCACTTAGCACAATGTTTTCAAGGTTCGTCCATGTTGTAGCACAAGTTAGAACTTCATTCCTTTTTAAGGCTGAATAATATCCTACTCTAGGCACATTTTGTTTATCCATTCATCCACTGATGGACATTTGGGTTACTTTTTACCTTTTGGCTATTGTGAATAGTGCTGCTATGAACATGGGTGTAAATACTTGAGTCCCTATTTTCAATTCTCTCTCATATATATCCAGGAGAATTGCTGGATCTATGGTAATCCTGTGTTTAACTTTTTGAGGAACCCTGCTATTTTTAGAACAGATCTCCTCCCGAAGTCCTTTTCTGCCTGGGGTGAGTAACCCAGCACCTGTCACATGGGCTTTATTCCTCCTACTGACTGACAGCACTTTGCATGGCTGAGGAGTCACCAGAGCTGACACTAAATCATGTCTTTTTCTTGGTTTGCTGACATCATTCATTCATTCAAATATTTTCAAACCCCTACAATATGCCAGGCACTTTCTTCGTACATTATACAGAGTCACCTATGTATCACTTTTAGTCCATGAAAAACAGTAATTCAAAACTCATACTTACATAGTTAACCAACATTGTAAAGAGTCAATGTTTTGGGGCGCCAGGGTGGCTGGTTAAGGGCCCGACTCTTAGTTTTGGCTCAGGTCATGATCTCATGGGTCCTGAGATTGAGCTCCACATCAGGCTCTCCGATCAGAGGGGAGTCTGCCCCTCCCCCCCACTCACTCACACTCTCTCTCCCAAACAAATCTTAAAAAAAAGAAGTCAATTTTTTACCCAAATGTTGACAGAGGGATGGATTGCCAATGACGATCCACACGGAAAGAAAGAGTCTCAGTGTTCAGGTCCTTAGGACAAGACCCACCCACTCTTCCTGGCCAGAGCTGGATGGGCCACCAGCACTGAACAGAAAGAACAGTGCTGCTGGTGGGTTCCCATCAAAGCCGTGGCTTCTCTCATCTGTTAGCTCAGAGGCTCCCTCCTCAGAGAGCTGTCTGAGTCCTTCTCTAACATTCTCTACCTTGACTTCTTGTTCTATCACAGCATTTATCATGGCTCACAATGATCTGGCATTTACACTATTTTCTATTCATCTACTCCACTAAATACAAGACATGAAGGCAGGGGACTTGCTCCCCACAGTATCCCTTGCCCAATGCCGGACAAATAGTGTTCAATAAATATCTTCCGGGTAAATGAATGAATAAATGGAGAAAAGAGCCAGGTCCAAACAGGTGAGTAGGGCATGCTTAGCAGAGGGGCCCCCCCAGGTGGCACAAGTGCAGACAATGGCCTCTGGCCCCCATGGGATGACACGAGGGTCTAGATGAGCCAGGGCCTGGGAGAGGCCGGGCTGGAAGTGTATCCCGGGAGAGGAGCAAAGAGCTGGGACCGGGCGCAATGCAAAAAGACAGCAGACAGGAGAGGAGACTGGGCAGGCTGCAGTGCAGAGGAGGGGCTTTATCACCACATGGAGAGGCTTAAATAAACTCTCTGACTATCCCAATCTGGCAAGGGGAGAGGGGCGGGTCCATGTGGACACCGGGGTCAGCTTGACAGGTAAACCCCAGAGGCAAGTAGACCCCACAGGCAGCCAGCCCTGCGGGGTGTGATCCCAGAGGCTGCCCACTTTGGCAGGGATCTGATTATATGCTTACTGATGTTCTGAACACAATACATCAAAGCTAGATTAAGACACTCTCTCTAAATTCCCCTGCTCAGCAGCAACCTTCTCTCTACAATGCGTTCCTCCACAAAAATTCTGCTAGGAGCACAGAATGCACTGGCGGCCCAGAAAAGCATTCCAGACCACTGGGGGGTGACACTTCTCACTACAAACGCTGGCCTTCAGCACCAGCCCCCTGTATATATCTGTTCCCAGAGCCTGATAACTCTTTGGCTATGGTGCCCCCCACCTGCTCATCTTCAGCAGGGCCGTCCCACAGAGCCTCGTCTGAGCTGCTGCCCCCCCGGCCACCATGCAGCCCTGCCACAGCCCGCCCAGCTACACCGTTTCAGGACTCTCAGGAAGTCGGAGGACTGACGACTTACCTGTACAACTTGGCTGTCTGATTTCTCCGGATCTTCTGCAGACTGAACAATGAGCTGGCCAATTTCTTTGTGTAGTTTGCCCATTGTCATGGCCTCTGGTGAGATCAAGCACATGTTATGTGAATATTTACAAGTTTACATAATAAAAACCATGCTGTCTACTTGAAAAGGTAAACAACCACACAGAAGGAACTTCCAAAACAACCAACTGACAACCTCCCGCATTTCCATCTTATTACTGAGCCCAAGTAGGACGATGTGCTAGGAGGTGAGCATAATCACGATTTATACCTCATGTTCAAAATAAAAACATTTCTGTTGTCACTCTAAGGACCAAACTCCATTCGCATAATGCTGGCTGAGATGGGCCCACTTTATAGACCCGGAGAAACCCCAGGCAGCAGGGAGATGGCCACCCCTTCTGGTCCTAATGCTTCAGCAGTTTAAGTGGCCCGGGCCACCACTAGTTTCTTATCCACTTTGGCTTTACAAAAGGCCATGACCTCCACTCCCCTGTGCTTACTGACACATCTTTCAAAAAGATTTTCCACACAGGAGTCATGTTCAGCCCTTGTGCGCTGCTCAACTTCTACACCTGTTTTGATCCTCTGTCCTTCGAGGGCGGGGGGCAGCATACTTCCCCTCTCTTAAGTGTGGACTGGACTTAATGACTTCCTTCTCACAAACAGAACATGGAGGAACTGGCGTATGACTTCTGAGAGCGAGTCATGGAAGGCACCGTGGTCTTTCTGTCTCTCGGACCATTCGCTCTTGGGGAAGCCAGCTGTTGTGTCATGAGAACATTCGAGCTGCTCTACGGAGAGGCCCACGTGGTGAGGCCTCCTGCTAAAGCCACGTGAGTTAACTCAGAAGTCGAGCCTCCGGAGGACTGCAGCACTGGCAGTTATCTTGACTGAATCCTCAGTCAAGGACCTCTCAGCTAAGTCAGTCCTGAAACTGAGATAACCAGTATTTGCTGTTTTAAATCACTAAGTTTAGAAGTGATCTGTTATGCAGCAAGAGATCCCTAATACAGCTTGTTTAAACAGAGACCTGGAGAAACAAGATAAAGAGGCTATCTTATTAACATATACTGTACGGCCTAAGCACCCCGAATGTATTACTACCATGGCGAGACCCATAAGAATAAACATCGTGCCCTAGACACAGAAAAATCCCTACAGTTTCAGCACAGCATGCTAAGCAGGCCCTCGAATACCAGTTTTAGAGAATCAGCCTAAAAAACAGAACTGCTTGAGGTAGGCAGGGGGAATGGGGGAAACAGGTGAAGGAGATTAAGAGTACACTTATCTTGATGAGCAGTAACATATTGAACTGCTGAGTCACTACACTGTACACCTGAAACTAACATGACACTGTATGTTAACTACACTGGAATTAAAATGTTTAACAATTAAGTATTTTTAAAAAGTACAACTGCTTGATGACATTTTGTATCAACAACAGAACAGAGAACGAACCTTTTGCAAGTGGAGCAATGGTAATCTCACTATCTGCCAGATTCACAAACACGTCATAGAGGTCTGATCTATTGCTCACCTCCAAGTCCACAAATCCAGCGATGTAACCTGCATTACATAGATGACCAACATTACTGGAGTAGGAACAAATCCTATTGTGAATGTATCAAAAGAGAATTGAATCTAGAAGCTCATCAGGGGCGCCTGGGTGGCTCAGTTGGTTAAGCGACTGCCTTTGGCTCAGGTCATGATCCTGGAGTCCCGGGATGGAGTCCCACATCGGGCTCCCTGCTCAGCAGGGAGTCTGCTTCTCCCTCTCCCGGTCCCCCCTCTTGTGCTCTCTCTCTCTCT